TAATGGCTATGAACACACCAGAGACACTTGTCTGAAGTGCCAGTGGACAAGAGAAAAGCTACGTTTCCCCACAGAATTCTACACTTATAGAAGCGAAACTCCCTCTTCGCGATCGCCAATTCGCTGTGAGGAATTGAAACTAAAACATGGCGGCCTGTTGAGGGCACCTTTGGCTGCGCCGCACAGCCAGGCTTCGCGTTGCCATGCACGCTGATGCTAGTGGTAGGGCTTGGAAGACACCTTACATCAGTATTTTAAAACTTTCTTTCTAGATCTACTAAAGATCTTCACAGTCACAATACACTTGATAATAACACTAATTATGAACATTAATTCTGTTGGCAAAATATCTAGATAGATATATATATATATATATATATATAGTCTTGATTAGTACAAGATCTACGATAAGGGGACGCTGACAGTAACATGCTCACTACAATAATATTGTCATTAAACTTAAGGCCATCCAAAGCAAGCAAAAAAGAACTATATAAGCCTTTTCTCCAATTTACTAGAATTATTTCTCACTTTAAAAATTCATCTCTGTGCTTGCATCAGTAGTGTGTACAACAACATGCTTTGTTTAAAGCACGTGCAAGTCTAACAAATACAAGAGATTGGAGAATGTCTCGGTTGCACATAAAATACATAGGCCTATTGTACATGCTGCCAACAACACAAAAATGCAGAAAAGGCCTCAAAATATTGGTTCACACATAAAAGCCAATAATGCAAAACAAAGTAAACAAGAGTGCAACTGGCATATGTTTCCTGAATATATATGTTCAAAGTCATTTTCTGTGTGTTGGGAGTGTGATTTCTAATTCATGAATGATAGGCTCATTCAGATGTGATAATGAAGAAGTGTCTACAGTCACAACAGAAAGAGTTCCATGGCGAGTGATCACTGGTCAAGGATTTCAGAGCTGTGTACATTTTGAGAAAAATGTATCCCCATACCCTGGATCACATGTCGAGGGGATGGCTTGTCCCCCTGTAATCCCCGCACACAGTAAACAAACACATATTTTTGAACACGAATAAGAAAAAATAAGTGGTCTCTTGTTACGGATCAAATTGAAGTCCTGTTTCAATTCGATTAATTGATAAAAGTGCGTATCGCAATGCGTTGGCCACCCCTGCCCTATAGGCCTATGCTATTTAATAAATACATTCGTCAGACCTGGAATCTTTAATGCCCGCACACAGCAAACAAACACACATTTTTGAACACGTATAAGAAAAAATAAGTGTTGTCTTGTTGCGCATCAAATCGAAGTCCTGTCACAATTCAATCAATTGATAAAAGCGTGTATCGCAGGGCATCGGCTAATCCAGTACTATTACGCTATTTTATAATAATAAATACATTCGTCAGATCTGGAATCATTAATCTTTAATTTTTAATCCCCGCACACAATAAACAAACACACATTCATGAACACGTATAAAAAAATAAGTGGTCTCTTGTTACGGATCAAATTAAAGTCTTGTTACAATTCAATGATTGATAATAGCGCGCATTGCAATGCATTGGCTAACTCGCGTGGGAAGGGAAAGTGAAAGGAATTGAAAATGCTTTCAAAAACAATTATGAAAGTAACATAATTAAAGTAGGACTCCATGTGCTTATAAAGGCCCAAAAAGGTGTATGGATGCGGAAATTAATGTTTCGGATGAAAATAATACGCTATCTCTACTACTGTAGCGTGCGGTCAAAAATTTGATGCGCAACTTATTATCAAATATCTAGGCTACTGAACTATCGAACACCTAGATCTAGATTCTCCTATTTTTACACAATGACTTAGATCTATATCAATTCGTCTTAACCGATGAGTATTTTTTTCAAACATTTGTACACATCTATAGGTTCTATATTATTCTAGAAATTTCTTTAAAGAAAATTCTTTAATAATACTAGCCAGATATAATTTTTTTAAAAATCCCAGTCAATGGTTTCTACAGATTTTTAAAAAGTTTATAGCTGGAGCTAAATCTCTTTTAAAAGCAAGTCCGTCCTTTTTTCTACTTCTGCTGGCGACATAAAGCTAATTATTGAACGCATGTTTTGAGAACATTAATTAGATCTAGATCTAGTGAAAAAATATATTCAGTGTAAAACAAATTTCTTGTAACAAGCGTTGCTACTAAAAAATTACGTAGGCCATATGCGTATGCAAAATGTGTGTGGGAAGCTAGAAGTAGAAGTGCTGTGAACAATCCCATCGTGTTACGGATTTTTTCACAGTTCTGTATATCTTATATTTATTTATAAACTCTTATTCTGCTTTTTCTGTTGTTGCACCCAAAAACACAACAATTTAAAACCTTGATTTCAATCTCTAGTTGCACAGTGAATTCTGTAACTCAAAATTACAAACTGGACAGTAAATGTTCCACTTTTCACTCGTTTGTAAAAGCCGCTCTTGCTTTAAAAGCTATAGGGTTACTTCCGAAAACGATAAATCGTGCCCTCAAGACGCCATTGTTTTCGGTCTTCAATTCCTCACAGGTCACGTGGTACAGTTCCCGTTCTATAAGTGTAGAATGCTGTGCGTTTCCCTGATCTTTCCTCGTTACATACTTGTTTAGGTTCCCTATGCTGGTTGTTTTGGGCCTACCCATTTTTGCCTACGTTTGCCTTCAATTTTGCCAATAAGAGCTAAATGTTGAAGACATTTATATCTATTCAGGTGCCCCAAACACTGCATTTGTCGTTTCCTGATTGCTTTTAACAGTGAGTGTGCCACGTGTGCTTTATCAAGCACTACCTCATTTGATTTCTTTTCCTTCACGATATTCTTAGCAGTCTCCTTAAAAAACACATTTCTGTTGCTTCCATTTTGTTTTCACTGTCTTCAGTGATTGTCCAGAATTCACAGCCATATAAAAGGGTTGCTGTGAATGCTGGAGAATCACTGAAGACTGTGAAAGTAAAATAGCAGCAAGAGTCTACGAATACTTAAATTTGGAACTTCAATTCTTTAAATAACAGGTAAAAACGTACTACTTGGTTTGGGTTTGATTATTTCTAAACCCACTTTAAACGAATAAGATTAGTTAGGCGAAGCGTGCATATTTATCTTCCTTCTGTAATAGGACAAAGTCAATATCATAGACCTGCCTCCTTAGTGGATTAAATTCAAGTTAACTGGCTCGTAATACATTTGTGTAACGACACGGTAAAATCAAACGCTAATAATTTTTTCTATAATCGTCGAGATAACTCATTTGTCTTGATTTTGATGACCCCCCCCCCCCCCTCTTTCTCTCATTTCAATTTTTTAAAAATCATCTAACTCCTGATTTCACCAGGACGTCAAACTTACTCGAACAAACAAAGTTACGCGCCTCGCTTATACGGCGGTCAAAAATTCGTGGCGCAACTTATCCTCAAATATCTCTAACGGGTGAACCAATGCCACCCACACTTTGCACAACAGTGTGCTTTGATTTGTCTTAACTTAATTATATTTTTCCCCACATTAATCGAGGATTTATTAAAAAAAACTTTTCTTCATGAATGTATATAGAATACGATAAATCTCCACCATTCGGAAAATGGGATTGTTCACAGCACTTCTCTCTTCTCGCACACATTTTGTTTACGCATATGTCCTACGTCACAAATCAACAATCACACTTTTTAGCTGCAAAACTTGTTAGAAGAAATTAATTTATAGTAAACAATTTTTGTGCACTGAAGGTTCTCAAAACCTGCGTTATATAAGCATAATGTCGCGATTGAAAAAACATTGACAGATTTGCTTTTAAAAAC